GCCAAGGAGCAAAATTCAATCCTAGGCTTGTACTCTGCTCGCGCAGACTCTGCCTGTAACCTATTTTTTAAGGAATTTTTGTAATTTAAATTATTAAAATCATAAGGAATTTCAATTGTTATTTTTTCATTCACTTTACACTTCTCTCCGTAAAATTTATATCCAACCTCGACAACTAAGATTATTTCCTAACCGTTGAATTCATGAGAAAAATGTTTTAATTATCTTTAATTATATTTTTAATTCCCAACTTGATCCCGATGATCGACGTGATGTCGAGATAGACGACATAATTCCATCAAACGAAAATGCGATGACATTCGCATTAGACATCATCAACGCGCGACGTCCTCGAAGCTTCAATCTAAAGCTTCGTAACGCGACGCGAGATAACGAGCCTCGTTAAGCGGTCGGAACAAGGACTTTTCGCGGGGAAACTCTCGCGGTGAAACTGCGACTCGCTCGGGGATGCGTGCAGAACGAATTGGGATGATATTTAAAGGCCGCATCCACGTGTCGAGACTTCTGTGGCGCGGGAAGTTTCCTACTCTCGTTATCCGGAAATCGGGCAAACTCTTCTCCGGCGAATAAGGGCCGTAACGATCAAACTGGCAGCACCAAGTGGATCGTCGACTCTGAACACCTTTCCGCAGCTAACCATCATCGTCACGAGATCCTCGAAGACATTCAACTCGTGAGAGAACAAGTAAGTGGACAGCGAATACAAATAGACGCGACGAACGAAGACTGGAGACGCGGACTTGTTCCGTTTCTTTGCCAAAAAGACTTCCTCCTCTCGTCGACGCGAATTAATCTCGAGCTTCTTCCGACATTGTCGCCGGTCTGCCCGAACCATGAAGAAATCATGCTCTAAGTTACCTAACGACTGTTCGTCCAAGGAGTGAAGGAAAAAGGAAAGAGAATATATGAATAAACGAATCGTTGGCTCGCGCACAGTGGGCCATACTAAACCGCAGGACAGGGAAGTAAACGAGGAAAAAAGATGAAGAGAGCGCAATAAGCGCGAGTGACAGAGAAAAGAGGGAGAGGGAGAGATAGGAAGGGGTGCAGTGGGTGAATAAAAGCTATGTCGAGCAGATGGCTGGTGCGGCCATTAGCTAATGGATCCCTAACACCAGTCTACGAGAGTCATCCGCCACGAGGCACAAACCGGTAGGTGGATGCGTCCATAGGTGGTGGTGACCACCCACACCCTTTCGCAAACCACCACCCAACCGCGCCAAGTCGACAGAATCGCGCGATTGCAGCTGCGCTAAATCACAAACGGATCGGCGAATGGCGCAAGCTTTTCCGGCTTGTCCCGACGTGTCGTTCGATTCTATCAACCTTGCCGCACGAAAATAACGTTCGCCCGACGTGGTAATCCTCTCCCGAACACATGCACACCCGCTCACACATGTTCCCATACCCTTCTTCATGTACGACTACATATAATTTCCAATCACTTAACGTATCGTTCCATCTCGAACGCGGCGCGCGTGTATCGAAGTTTCGTAAATAATAAAATTCCGCGCCGCGCGCGAGCTAGCGAGTATATTCTAAATAAATGATACCCAACCGGATGAGCGTCTCTCCGTTGCATCCAGGTAAAAATGGACCGCCTCCCTCGGAGATCGATAAACGAAATGGCTGTCGTTACTCGGAAAATTATTGGAGTACGCTCTCTCTTGCATTAGATAAATATTGTTGCTATTTTGTTTTAAGCGCTCTTTTTAAAATTGGTATATAGACGTTTAAATATTCTATTTCTCATTTGCATGAAATACTCAAAAGTCTGCACTCTAATATTTCGAATTTTATATATCCTGACTCTATACTTTTCTCTCGGAGAGAGCTTTTTAAATTTATTTGTGATCCATTCTCTTTTTTTTTATAAAATAATCCGTATATAATATTTTTATATCGCAGCACCAAGCTATTAAGCATTATGTACGAAAAACAAAGATAAGAGGAATACACCGTCGTTTCCGCGGTTTCGCTATCGCTCTTCTCGCCGGCATTATCTCCTTCGATACTCAAGAGAAGCGCACGTGCGTATACAAGCGCTTCCACAGAGGTTACAGGAGGCGTAGCGGCGGCGTAAGGGGTGCGCGACGATTCCGGCAAGCTCCCAATTACCTAAAATACACCCAACGCAGCGTCCCTTGATCTGTATAATTAACGCGCTGATCGTGCCGCGCGGCCACCGGCGCGTGAGCGTGAAGCGCGTCGCTTTCCAATTTGCGAACGGCGCTGCATTGTCGCGCAACGAAAGCAATCGTTACGCGCGATGATACGGCTGACGCGTCACGGCTCGCCGAGCGTTCGTTAATTGAACACGGCGGATTAAAATCCGCGGCGACTCCTGGCGCGTTACAGTTCCCAAGGAAAATCGATTGGCGTCATTGACTTTTCCCGCGATATCAAATTAAAGTCATCTGTCGATTATTCAAAATCATATTTTCGAAATCTCTCTCGTTTCGAATTTATAATATCTTTATAAAACGACAAAATTGTGCGGGATTATTTACGCGGATCTGAATCACATAGTTATAAAAAAATTTTACAATTCTTTACAGAATTCTTTACAGAAATTCATGTTAGACATTCTTGCAAGATAATAAACTCTTCAGAATTTAAGATTTGGTTATAAATTTTAAAATAGGGAGACTGCAAAATTTTTAATATTGAATGCTCATATAAGAAACCAAAAATAGACTTTTGCAATTGACTTTTCCTGCGATGTAAAATTAAAGTCAGCTGTCGATTATTAAAAATCATAAAATCTCTCTCGTTTCGAATTATAATATCTTTATAAAACGACAAAATTGTGCAGAATTATTTACGCGGGTCTGAATCACAGTTCTAAAAAAATTTTACAATTCTTTACAGAAATTCCTGTTAAACATTCTTGCAAGATAATAAGCCCTTCAGAATTTGAAATTTGGTTATAAATCGTATATCGTCAAAGTAAAAAAATAATGAGTTATAATGCTAAAATTTTATTTAAACATTTGCTAATAATAAGCGAAAAAACATTAAGGAAGCAAAACAAAGACAAGATAAATAGATTAGAATTATAATTTGATATATGCGACTGTAATCTTATCTGCATATATGTATGCGAGAAAGCTTCTTTCAGTAATATTCTAATAAGATTACCGGAGACATGCGGAATGCCAGAGAGATTTTCGCTGTAATGCGCAATGAATGTCTTTGGAGTCAATGTAACGTGACATAACTAAAGCAAACATGAACAGTGTAAACCTACAACTGTCATCCGTACCGATGGCGGCTCGCGGCAAATTCGCGTTGTCAGAACGTTAATGTGGAAATGTTTCCCGTTACACAACGCCCTGCGGAAATGTGCCAGGCACTCGTAGGTGGAGATATAGGGTTAACCTTGGGATATAGCCGCTCGTCTCTGCGAAGCGTCTTAACGTTTTGAAACACCGTCGCTAAATATTCATCGCGTTGAAACGTAAGCACCGAATCCCACGTTGCGCAGCGGCAGTCAACAGCCGCCCCTAAGCCACTCTAATCCGGCATTTCACGAGTAACGGAATTAAAATTGTACCGCGATTCTCGTCCGCGACGACGCGAATTGTCTTCCTTCTCTTGAATCTTACGCTAAAGCGCAAGAGATTCGCGTAGGAAGAGTCTTGAAAAGTTATCTCGACTATTCGCATTTCAGATAAAATATACGGAGATGTGAAAATTTGCAAAATTTTCTCGAACGCGTTCAACTTCATTTCCTTCCTTTGTCAACGTATATTCTTCGACGGATTTAAAATCGAGAATTTTTCTTTGTAACAATTTGTGTGTGTGTGTGTGTGTGTGTGAGATAAAATATATTTTTTTACAACATTTTTCAAATATTTTCCATATTTGATATTCTAATAATTCAAAACTCGAATTACTTTTTATATAATTCACTTGAAATTTTACAAAAAAAAATTATTAAATAGGCGTGAGAGCCAAAAAATTGCATTCGTTTCTAATACTTCCAATTGCTGGTTTAAAAAAAATTATTGACATCTCGTGGAAATAATGGGTCCTAACTATTCTTTTTTTATTCGAAAAGAAGACGAAAAATCTGAGGCAATCTTTATAACTGAAAGAGACAACTTGCCGTATTGTTGAATTAATGCTAGAACGTAGCATATTTGTAACAAGCCCAAACAAAACTACGCAAAATATATATGAGTAATTACAGTGTGCAGAAATTTGCTAGACGGAGGACTTGGATTCGCTTTTAAACTTTCCAAAGTGCGAACTGGCGAGCTCTGGCGTAACTCCCGGATAAGTTGCCGCCACAATTCAACTCGCCATCGACTGCCTCCGTCGCATTGTTTCCATTCATTCGAAGTATGCATGCGCCCTTTGTCCAAGCTTTTGAGCGTCATTGTACTACAAATACCTAGCGAACATATTCGCGTCTCAAGGTTGTAGCCGTTTAATCAAGCCCGATAATTACTTGCATCATAAAAAATGAAATTCAAATATATTAATAAAATTTAAATTTTTTATCGTACTTATATACATATATATCATATATAAAAATTTAATTTCTCGTAGAAATGACAGATTAACGCGGAGGTCTCAAAATGCGCGATCACTAATCCGCCATGCAACTTGTGAACAGACGACCGTCGAAAAACGCATAATTTCTGATGGATTAACTCTAAATTCTTATATATCAAAAATTGATTAAAATTATTTAAAAATTCCAATATTTATTATTTGATCTTTCGATAATTTTCTTGTCATAGTATATTTTAAGATACTGTATAAATTATTCACAAGCATATAATTTAAAAATAATGAAGAAAACTTAATTTCTTTTTCATTGCAAATTCCAATTTTCAATTAATATTGTCTGTAATATATTTGCAGATAATTCCAAGATTAATAGAAATTCAAATCGCAAAGATAAGAATTTATTTTTTAAATAAAGAATAATAAATATTTTTATAAAAAGACAATTGTGTGTAAATCACCTATTGCACACTTGAAAATTGCTCCGATATACCTCTCCGGGTCTTCTCTTTTCTCGTGTATATCCTTTTCCCTCTTTCATGATACCTACACTCACTCGCGAAAACACGGTTCATTATCGGATCGCGCGTTTATCACAAGAATACGACGATCATACGGCAATTTACGCACTTACTTGCTTATTACATTTATGACATAATCGCAGTTTATTTTATATCGCGACGGGAGAACACGAAAATCACATAGGTACTTGAAAAGGTATGACGACACAACACTGAGAGTCACCTTCCCGTTCGAGATGACAACACACACTATGAAATCACGCACTACTACTTTCCCGTTCAAGTCTCGCTACGCGAATAACAAAGTGAGTGCTTATAAATAATAGCACGATATAAGTTGCGCAAGCACCAAATTCCATAACAGTTTATTTATTGTCATAAAATATTTAACGCGCTATAAAGTCTAAGTAGGTACTGTAGAATATATTGTTTCCTCTTAAATTATGTAATTAAATAAATTTAAAATTATATTGTATATATATATAATTGTTCATAAATGTTTCACGATTTTATTTTTCATTGTTTTATTCTAAAAGTCAAAATGCAATTCGAAACAAAATATAGTTGCAGAAACTCAAAACGATAATTTATAACTTTTAGTTCCTCTATCGTTCTGATCCTTATTCAAAATGTATACATTTGTATGAAATATCTGTTTTGATAAATTTCCGTTGTCTCGATATGCTTACGAGTCATTAATTACACAATTAATTAACTCCCATGATTAATGATTCCTAAACATACTGAAGTGACAGGAATTTATCAAGATAGATACATATATATTTCGTGTGATGCGTGATATTTCGTGTGATATTTCATACGCTAAGAAACGATAAAAGATAAACACATTAGAAATTGCCATTCCATTTGTTTCTTTAACACAATGCTTATGTAAAAATGTAAAATTACCATATGTAAAAATTTAATATCTTTAAAATCAATTTGCAGCGTTTTTTTAGCAATTAATCAAAATATTTCTCAAATATTGGTTTTTTCGTTTACAATTTATTATAAACATTTTACGGAAGTAAAAATGTTTGTGCAATGTTAACTCGAATCAATTAGCTTAAAATCAATCAAAATCAATAATTTCTGATAATTCGTCAGTGTAATAAGTTCAATAGACTAACAAAGAAGCGGAAAGACAGATATATCCGCATTTAATTTCTCATGATGAGAATACCAGAAGAACTCCGACAAAAGAGTTGAACAGAACAAAGCGAAGAAAATATTCGCAAATAGAATCGGATCGATTGCAGGCATCGATATGAAATAAATAATATACCGAAAAGAGAAACAGAGAGGAAATTCAGTTGCCTTAGGAGGAGTTCCTTTTATTTCACATTAAATGGCAAAGGAACTGAACATGCTCGCGGCATCCTAACGGAGCGTCTTTCACGGCTTTGAGTAATTAATCAGAACGGTTTGAGTATTTTACTTGAGAGCTATCGTTCGCGATAATTGGTCCGATTACCGATCAATAATTCGTCGCGGCAATTGCAGCCGACCGCGAGCGAAAGTAGAGCACCTAATAACCGAAAGACGCGACGGCACAAAGCGCCCTTGAATATTCAACCGGAGGCAAATCGACGTCGTATCCTGACAGGGAGATAAATACCGGAATAGATCTGGAATAAATCAAAGAACGAGGAAGGAGAATGCGCATCTCTCGCGTCAGGGAAAGAGAAGGGTTCCTGCACTGGCCGCGATCCAAGAATTTATTCGCCCATGTCGGCGTATAAAAATTTCAACGTTATTAGGATTGGATGCTCCGCCTGGCTCCTCTGCTCGTGTGCGAGAACGAACAGTGTCTCTCGTCGGTCGACGGCCCTGTTTCTTCTTTTTTTCCGCCCGATGCAAGAATTTTTGTTTCCGCCGACTGGCAGAAACGCCAGACGGAAAAAGCGAGGCCGTCCGTTTGTGCACAAAATCAGGATCACCACGCTGCACTTCTGTTCGTCAAGCTTTTTTGCCGCGCCACTTATACCTATCTGGATTTGGATCCGAATACATGGACTCGTGGCGAACGTTTAACGTGACGCGTATTCTCAAGTCGGATTAGTCGGCGCGATCGATGGTCCCGACTATCGATTTCACTTTTTAAGTTGACGGAAAGCGTCAAGGATTTCGCAACGTTTTCTCCTCGATACGTAAATCGAGATCGTTCACCTCGATACTTTGATCTATTTCTAAAATTATTGGATTTTGCTATCTATCACTGAAAAAAAATTATTGAATTCGAATAAATATTTATTTCCATACTGTCAAATGAATCATTTATTTGAAACTAATAATATTGATTTGATATAGGAAAATATTTATTTGATATAAGAAAATCTTTTTCAAAACAAATAAATATTTATTTATTTCAAATAAATGATTCATTTGGCAGTATTGAAATAAATATTTATTAATTTAGTCATTTTTTTCAGTGTACAAATACAAATTCGCAAGTTGTACAGGATGTCCCATAGGAAATTGCTGAAACTAATCAGCTGTCATTTTTTAATGCATATGCAGTTATTGAGAAAATAAAAATTGTGTTGGAGAGAGGAAAAAATTTGCAATTTTTTCATCACTTTTTTCAATAAAATAAACTGGTATATACAATATAAACATTTTATTGATATCCATTAAAAACTGCAGACTTCAGCAATTTCCTATGGGACACCCTGTAAAAAATTTACGTAACAAAGAGCGCGAAGTTATTTCCATTTTCAACGAGCCTCGCGACGTTTGCGTGTCAAAAATACACGAGCATAATCCAGAATCGGCCGATGGCCACGTAGCGTCGCGCATGCAAACTCGTCGGAAATAAAAGTTTAACTCGTACATCCCGGAAGAGAGTTGGTCTCTGATTCACGGCTTTGCGTCCTACGGTGAGCGGTAGATCTTCCTGCCGTACAAATTTCGCCGCTCGATCTCCCTTGAATATTGACTGACCCTCCCGAATACGAGGCATATCGATTCGATGGAGGCTATACGCAGACGAAAGTTCAGAAATGGTGCTTAACGTCGATTGTGGCGAGAGGAGAATGGCCTCTCCTAGGGATCAGCGCGTGATATTTTCCAGTGCATCGCTCTTACGGACAAGAGCGCACGAAGAGAACAAAAAATATATGAGAAAATAATTTATTATATATTAATAATTAATAATTAAAAAGTAAAAGTAAGAAAATAAGATTCATAGCTTCGAAGTAATTAATATATTTAGAATCGTTCGATGTGAAGTTCCAAAAATCTATAAAATATATTCGAATGGAACCAATGTTTTTAAATATGACGATTTGACGAAAAAGAAATCGCTAAGCTTTTCGCAAAGAGAAAGAGAGAGAAAGAAAGAGCGAGGACGAGTGGAGAAAGAAGAGGGACGGTTAGATCGCTTGTGTCTATCCCTGAGGGCTCAGCTGCGGAGGCACCACGGTGATCGATGTCTCCACTCTCCGCAATTTGAACAATGTCCCCGCTGTCTTGGGCCACACCGCTCACTCTTTCGCTTCTCTTTCTCGTCGCTCATCCCACTTTCTCCTCCCCTTTTCGTTCCCTTTCACTTTGCCTTCGTTTCCGCGTCCTTCCTCGGGCGCCATTCCCGACATTCCCCGGGTAAAATGAACGTTATACGGGCGAAAAGGACGCGACGGGCCCATTCTTATTTACTATTCCAGCAGCGACGGCAGGATGGCAGGAAGCAAGAATGCGTACGAGAATCGGGCGGAGTGGGAAAGACGATGAGAACCGCGACTTTTCGCCGAGCTGCGAAGTCTACACAATCGGAAGTTCCTCCCTTTCTCCGCGAGCTAAGTAAACAGTTGGGGATGAAAATTTCCGAGACGTGCCTTGAAAGCGATCCGCGCCGGAGAGACCTCTTGCTCGCTCCTTTCGGCTCGTACCAGTCAAATAATGGATAACCAAAGGCAATCGAATATCATTAACGTCAATTATCGGTAGATCGTTCTTTGTGTGCGCAGAATTAAATATTTTAAACGATTAGCAAACGATCTTTGTTCCCTGTTATCGATATCATCTTTTATTCTCTTTCATCGGAAACATGCATGGATTTGATCGCTCGCATTTAGATAGAGACAAAAGGCCACTTTCGTAACGCTCTTTGCGCGCTCATGAATTAATCACGGATCCAGCTTTTTTCCATCGCGCTCCATAAATTGAAAAAAAATCAAATAATTTTCCTTCCTAAATATATAAAATTTCGAAAGCATATTTTATTCAACTCGCGTGCCTCGCCTTGATGGAACTCGATGAAAATAAATTTTAAAAACGCTCTCAAGTATCCTTTGTAATTTTAGCAAAAAAAAAAATTGTTTGGGAAAATGGCGAAATAATTTGAACTTTGGGACAAGCATTGAAACGCCGGTCCCTCGGATCGTAAACCGACCTCGGGATATGCGAACGCGCGTCCTTCCTCAATTGAACTTCTCCGTATAACGTGCTCGATGAGACGCTCCGGCTAGCTAGTAACGTCCCTGGCACAAGTATTAGTCCTCAAACCGCGAAGCATACTTAACAGACTGGAATTGGCTGTTTCGACACTGAGCCGTTCGACATTCGGTTCGCCCGCTTTAGAGAGTACTTCAACCGTTACTCCTGCGAGGTATAAGTACAAGGTACTCGGGCTTGTGAATGGTTCTTGCTCGTATCACTTTCGCGCGCAGCTAGGCAGCATATTTAGTAAGATAATACCTGAGAACTTTGGATTGACAATAGATTGGCGCTACAATAGCCAACGCAATATAGTATAATTTCATTGTTACTACTTAGACTGTTAGATTCGATAATGGCCACCAGTTTTATCTTTCGTAATAATTTCGGAAGAAATATGACATTTATCCTAATATATGTTACATATTTTAGTATTTTTAATTTTTATATTTTTTATTTTAATATTTTTTCCCTTACAATTAAGTTCTGCAACGTTTCCTTTATTATAAAATGTCTAATAGCATAACGAGTCACAAAGTTTTATCTTTCATAATCGGAAGAAATGTGACATTTATCCTAATATCCTATATATATTTTAATATTTAAAATTTTTATATTTTTTCCCTTACAATTCAGTGATCAGTTTTGCAAGGTTTCCTTCATTATAAAATTTCTAATAGGATAATGAGTCTCACAAATTTGATTTGCAAACTCAAGAGAGAAGCATTATCAATTTTTATAAAACATAATCGCGTTACTCTCGTCATCTTTCACTTGCGCCGCGTTATTAATTTTCCTGGAAATA